GCAGAGGTTTCAGTGAGCTGAGATCTCGCTAACTGCACTCCAGCCTGAGCAACAAGAGCAAAACTCTTGTCTCAAAAAACATACATATATTTAATTTTAATTATTACTATTCCTAAAAAAACAAATTAACTAAAGCTCAATTACTTCCTTCAGAAGAAAAATGACAATTTCACCCATCAGATCTGTTTTCACCTATTAAATCTCCCTGGTGAACAGGCTAGATTCCAGAAACCCAGTGCCAAAAATCAACTATCAGCCTTATACTGGGCCCACAAGAGCATGATACACCATAGCAGAGATTCCTGGTCCTTCTTTTGGCCCCTGGGGAGATCTACTATCGGCTTATAGCCCTACCAGCTGGCTAGGAATGTGTGTGCAATACTTGTGAAGCCTTGGAAACCTGTACAGAACGTACCCAGATTATGATGATTCAATTTAATGATTTTTCAACTTTATGAGGGTATAAAGATGATACATATTCAGTAGAAACCATACACACACAAACACTGTTTTTCACTTTCAGTACAGTGCTCATTAGTCAACACTTTATTATAAAATAGGCTTTATGTGAGATGATAATACCAGCATCTTGTTCAAGAAATTAAAGCCAGTTCCTCAACAGAGAACATTATTAGAATGAAAATAGATGCAGGAACAGGAAGGTGAAGACCTGTGCCATATTCAACAAGACTGAACTACAGGGCAAAGAATCACATAGTGTTGCAAAATCTTGAACTGGCTAGAGAATAGGATTACAAAAACCACACAGCTATTGCTGGAAAATTATGTCATGCAGAGAAGAGACTGACATGATTATGTGGGTTTGTCCCAAACAAATGAGATCTTAGAGTAAGTCAAACAAGTATATCTAACCAGCTACTCAGAGAACCTAGTTTCTATAGCAAACAAATCGTTTAAGCTACACTCCCACATTTTAAACGTATATTCATCTATAGAAGCCTGAAAGGACAGTGGGATTACAAATAATTTTATATTTTAGAGGCTTTCATAATTTGAAGAGTTAACCTTACAAATTTGTGTCACTAAAATGCAAAAGCAGGCCTGGCATGGTGGCTCATGCCTGTAATCCCAGCACTTTGGGAGGCTGAGGCAGCCAGATCACAAGGTCAAGAGATCGAGACCATCTTGGCCAACATGGTGAAAACCCATCTCTACCAAAATACAAAAAATCAGCCGGGCATGGTGGTCCGTACCTGTAGTCTCAGCTGCTTGGGAGGCTGAGGCAGGGGAATCGCTTGAACACCAGGGAGGCAGAGCTTGCAGTGAGCCGAGATAGCACCACTGCACTCGTCTGGTGACAGAGCAAGATTCCATCTCAAAAACAAACAAACAAGCATACAAACAAAAACGGCAAAAGCAGGTTGGCATGGTGCCTCATGGATGTAATCTGAGCATTTTGAGGAGGCTGAGGTGGGAGGATCACTTGAGCCTAGGAGACCAGCCTGGGGGATATAGGCAAAACTACCTCTACAGAAGATGTAAAAATTTGCCAAGTGCGATGGCATGCCCTGGTAGTTACAGCTACTTGGGAGGCTGAGGTGGGAGGATTGCCTTGAGCCTACGAAATTGAGACTGGAGCTGATGGCACTATTACATTCCAGCCTGGGGAACAGAGTAGGAGCATCTTCCCCACTGCCCAGAGTCCTCTAACTTGAGGGAGACGTACACATCTGGTTTTTTTTGTTTGCTTGTTTTTGTTTTTTCAGTTTTGCTCTGCTGCCCAGGCTGGAGTGCAGTGGTGCGGTCTCAGCTCACTGCAACCTCCGCCTCCCAGGTTCAAGTGATTCTCCTGCTTCAGCCTCCCAAGTAGCTGAGATTATAGGTACCTGCCCCCATGCCCAGCTAGTTTTTGTATTTTACCATGTTAGCCAGGCTGATCTTGGAAATCCTGGCCTCAAGTGATTTGCCTGCCTTGGCTGGGATTACAGATGCAAGGCACCATGCCCAACATCTTTTTTTGGAAATGAGGCTGGGATTCTGTCTCTTTCTTGCCCAGACTGGAGTGCAGGGTCATAATCATGACTCACCACCCAGGGTTCAAGCAATCCTCCCATCTCATCCTCCCAAGTAGCTGGGACCACAGGCATATGCCACCACACCCAGCTAATTCTTGGTAGAGATGAGGTTTTCCATGTTGCCCAGGATGGTCTCACACTCTGGGGGTCAAGCAATCCACCAGCCTCCCAAAGTGCTCAGATCACAGATGTGAGCCAAAGACATCCAACACCCACATGATCTGTGAAAGCATGCTCCACTTCAGCCTTTTGCATGCAAGCACATTCCTGCACTGCAGTGAATCTATAACTTACTATGGATGCACAATTATTCACAAGCAGTGAAAGCCTGAGTACCTAAAAAGTTTACGGCCTCAGAATATACTTGACAATTGTGCAAACAATAGTCTATTCTTGACTGGATGGGGTGGCTCATGCCTGTAATCCCAGCACTTCGGGAGGCTGAGGAGGGCACATCTCCTGAGGTCAAGTTCGAGAACAGCCTGAACAACATGGAAAAACCCCATCTCTACCAAAAACACAGAATTAGCTGGGAATGGAGGTGCAGGCCTGTAATCCCAGCTACTTGGGAGGCTGAAGCAGGAGAATCATTTGAACCCAGGAAGCAGAGGCTGTGGTGAGCTGAGATTGTGCCATTGAACTCCAGCCTGGGCAACAAGAGTGAAATTCTGCCTCAAAAAAACAAGTCTATTCTCCTGTTTCCTTAGAGTTGTCATACATAAGCAAAACTGTATGGAGGAGTAACATGGAAGAGGGGAAGCCTTATGGAAGATAAATCATGTTCTTGCCTCTTGTAGGGTTTCAATTCAGTAGCGGTATAAATGACTCCATGCCAATTTCCCTTCCCATATGCATGCTCATCCAGTGACTCATAAGCTTAGACCAACAGGCTCAGCATGAAGGCCAAGAAACTTGTGTTTCTCCTAAATTCAGCAGCTGATTCTCATGCATCGAGGCTCTCACTGGGCCACTTTGGGAATGAAGACAAAGGAGTGTGATGGAGTCCATGTGATGGTTGAGTAGATGAGGAAAAGGGTCATGTAAGAGACCTTGAGTCAGACTCACGTCATACAGAAAGCCCACAGTACGTATACTCAGAAGCAAGGCAATGTTACAATTTTATTCTTTGTTTTTCTGAGACAGTCTCACACTGTCACCCAGGCTGGATCACAGTGGTGTGATCATGGCTCACTGCAGCCTTGACTTCTTGTGCTCACTTGATCTTTGCACCTCAGCCTCCTGAGTAGCTGGGAGCACAGGTACATGCCACCATTTTTTTTTTTTCTTTTGTAGATATGGGATTTCACACGCTGCCCAGGCTGGTCTCAAACTCCTGGGCTCAAATAATACTCCCACCTTGGCTCCCCAAAGTGCTGAACAACCATAGAGAAGCACTCTATATTTCTTCTATTATGTTAGCAAACACACAGAAGGACAATTTAAAAATAGATTACTATACCCAGGAACATATGCCAGAATTACCAATAGAGGTTTTTAAAAAATCTTTTAAGTCTAGGCCTGACGCTTGGAGAAGGCTGCCAATGGGTCAGGACCTACGTATTTCTAATAAGCTCTGAGGGCAGCTCTGAGGTTCCCTTCTGGTTGAATCACTGACTTTAGGTTGACTGGGGTACTTTGGTTTTTTTGGGCCGTTTTTTGGGGGTGTGGGAAGCTTTTCTGGCAGATTTACTAGGAGTGGTGAAGAACTTGGCCTCTGGCTTTTTAGGAGTCTGTCTCACATCTTTTTTCCCCAGCGAAGGACTTTTTTCCTTCACTGCCTCTTCTTTGATTTTTGGCTTCTTCCGTGGGCCTTTTCCTGGGGTCTCAGATTCTGCAGCCTTAGGGGTCTCAGATTCTGCAGCTTCAGGGGTCTCAGATGCTGGCAAGGCCTTTCTTTTCTTCCCACGAGGTGTGCTGGGAATAGGACTCTTTGTTGGAGACTTCTTTCCTGTGGCATGTTTTTGAATCTGGGAAGAAGAAAGTATAATATAGAAAAAGACCACAAAACCTGACACTAATTCTAGGAGTTACTGTTTTCATTAGTTAACATTCAAAAGGTATACACCTCAGCATGACGACAGAGATGAGCTATATTCCACTATTAAGAATGAGAGAGGCGGACGGGCACGGTGGCTCAAGCCTGTAATCCCAGCACTTTGGGAGGCCGAGGCGGGTGGATCACAAGGTCAAGAGATCGAGACCATCCTGGTCAACATGGTGAAACCCCGTCTCTACTAAAAATACAAAAAATTAGCTGGGCATGGTGGCACGTGCCTGTAATCCCAGCTACTCAGGAGGCTGAAGCAGGAGAATTGCTTGAACCCAGGAGGCAGAGGTTGCGGTGAGCCAAGATTGCGCCATTGCACTCCAGCCTGGGTAACAGGAGTGAAACTCCGTCTCAAAAAAAAAAAAAAAAAAAAAAAAAGAATGAGAGAGGCTACAAACCACAGTGCTTCCAAAAATAAAATTGAAAAAAAAAAAAAAAAAAAAAAAAAAAGAAAAGAAAAAAGAATGAGGGAGGTGGGTGATGTGGTTCACACCTGTAATCCCGGCACTTTGGGAGGCCAAGGCAGGCAGATCACTTGAGGCCAGGAGTTCGAGACCAGCCTGGCCAACATAATAAAAACTTGTCTCGAGCCGGTACGCCTGTAATCCCAGCTCTTTGGGAGGCTGAGGCGGGTGGATCATGAGGTCAAGAGATCGAGACCATCCTGGTCAACATGGTGAAACCCCGTCTCTACTCAAAATACAAAAAATTAGCTGGGCATGGTGGCGCGTGCCTGTAATCCCAGCTACTCAGGAGGCTGAGGCAGGAGAATTGCCTGAACCCAGGAGGCGGAGGTTGCGGTGAGCCGAGATCGTGCCATTGCACTCCAGCCTGGGTAACAAGAGCAAAACTCCGTCTCAATAAAAACAAAACAAACAAACAAAAAAACCTTGTCTCTACTAAAAATACAAAAATTAGTCTACTGCCATACCACACTGAACGCACCTGATCTCGTCTGATCTCGGAAGCGAAGCAGGGTTGGGCCTGGTTAGTACTTGGATGGGAGATCACATGGGAATATCGGGTGCTGTAGGCTTAAAAAACAAACAAAACCAACAAACAAAACAAAACTAAAAATCAGCCAGGCGTGGTGGCAGGTATCTGTAATCCCAGCTACTCAGGAGACTGAGTGAGGCAGGAGAATCACTTGAACCCAGGAGGCAAAGGTTGCAGTCAGTGGAGATTGTGCCATTGCACTTTAGCCTGGGCGACAAGAGCCAAACTCCTTCTCAAAAAAAAAAAAAAAAAAGAATGAGGGATAGGTGTGGTGGCTGATGCCTGTAATCCCAGCACTCTGAAAGGCTGAGGCAGGTGGATCACTTGAGGCTAGGGGTTCAAGACCAGCCTGGCCAACATGGTGAAACCCCATCTCTACTAAAAATAGAAAAATTAGCTGGGCATGGTGGCGCATTCCTGTAATCCCAACTACTCAGGAGGATGAGGCAGGAGAATTGCTTGGGCTTGAGAAGTGGAGGTTGCTGTGAGCTGAGACTGCCACTGTACTCCAGCTTAAGAAACAGAGCAAGACTCTGTATCAAAAAAAAAAAAAAAAAAGAATTATGAACACCCAGAGGTCTTCCTGGTTCAATCAGAGGAAAAACACCTTTCACTACAACCTATGACTGATGGGAAGGACTTCTGGAGGCACCATGAGGAGCACGGCAGAGGTACCTGGGAGCAAACTCGGACTCTTCCAAATGTAGCTGTACATCCCTGGCACATGGTTTAGGGCAGAGGTTCCCAAATTTCCTGTGTAAAAGCCAACTGGGGCCAGGCACTGTGGCTTAACCCTATAATCCCAGTACTCTGGAAGGCCAAATTACCTGAGGCCAGGAGTTCAAGACCAGCCTGGCCAACATGGCAAAACCCTGTCTCTACCAAAAACACAAACATGAGCTGGGTGTGCTGATGCGCACTAGTAATCCCAGCTACTCAGGCGGCTGAGGAAGAAGGACTGCTTGAACCAGGGAGGTGAAGGTTGCAATGAGCTGAGATCATGCCACACTATCCTAAGTGACAGAGTGAGACTCTATCTTAACAACAACAACAACAACAAACAACTGGTTGGGGTCAGGTGCAGTGGCTCACACTTGTAATCTCAGCATTTTGGGAGGCCAAGGTGAGAAGATTGCTTAAGCCTGGGAGTTTAAGACCAGCCTGGGCAATATAGCAAGACCCCATCTCAAAAAAAAAAGGACAGTAAATCATGAGATGGTAACTACCTTCATAGTTCTCTGGATTCATTCCATTATTTTTCAGCATTCACTGCTCAGCACAGTGCCTGCCTGACAGTAGCCACTGAACCCATCCATTATGAATATTAAATATTAAAAACAATACCTCTACATTCTTCTTAGCTGGAGTCTTTCCTATTGGTACCAGCTGTGGAATTTCGTCTTCGGAGTCATTTGCCACTTGAACTTGGGCTTTTCCTTTGCGACGCCTTTTCTTCCCATGCTCGGGGGTCTGCTCCTTCTTTGATTCAGGTTTCTTCTCTGTAGTGTCAACACTTTCAGGTGCCACGGCGTCTTTACTAAGGACTGATGCAGGCTTGCTAGCCTGCTGTTTCTTCTTTCTGATTTTGGTCCTCTCCTTTTGTTTTTCATGATTTCTTTCTCTTCGTTTTTTCCTTGCCTCCTAGCAAAACACATCATAAAAAACTTTAGCAGGAACACTTACTTCTGTTGGTTAACAAATGGCATAGATTTACCACTTGCCGTTCTGATTATCCATAAGCCCGTAAATGTACAGAGAACAAACTCCTTTACCAGCACTGGAACCTGAACCAGTTGTTGACTCATAGTCAAATATGCATTTTATGCAGTAAACTATACATTTGTATTTCTGAATCTGGCTATCTAAAGGATACAGTTTAGTGATTTTTCTGAAACATAGTATAGTTTAGAGAGTATAAAGAATAATCCGGCCGAGTACGGTGGCTCACGCCTATAATCCCAGCACTCTGGGAGGCAGAAGCGGGTGGATCACAAGGTCAAGAGATTGAGACCATCCTGATCAACATGGTGAAACCTCATCTCTACTAAAAATACAAAAAAATTAGCTGGGCATGGTGGCACATGCCTGTAGTCTCAGCTACTCAGGAGGCTGAGGCAGGAGAATTGCTTGAACCTAGTAGGCGGAGGTTGCGGTGAGCCAAGATCACACCATTGCACTCCAGCCTCAGTAACAAAAGAGAAACTCTGTCTTAAAAAAAAAAAAAAGAATAATCCAGCTGGGCGCTATGGTTCATGTCTGTAATTCCAGCACTGAGGTGGGGAGTTTCAGACCAGCCTGACCAACATGGATAAACCCTGTCTCTCTCTCTCTTTTTTTTTTTTTTTTTTTTTGAGACGGAGTTTCGCTCTTGTTACCCAGGCTGGAGTGCAATGGCGCGATCTCGGCTCACCGCAACCTCCGCCTCCTGGGTTCAGGCAATTCTCCTGCCTCAGCCTCCTGAGTAGCTGGGATTACAGGCATGTGCCACCATGCCCAGCTAATTTTTTTTTTTGTATTTTTAGTAAAGACGGGGTTTCACCATGTTGACCAGGATGGTCTCGATCTCTTGACCTCGTGATCCACCCGCCTCGGCCTCCCAAAGTGCTGGGATTACAGGCTTGAGCCACCGCGCCCGGCAACCCTGTCTCTACTAAAAATACAAAATTAGCCGGTTATGGTGGCACATGCCTGTAATCCCAGCTACTTGGGAGGCTGAGGCAGGAGAATTGCTTGAACCCCTGGTAGGTGGAGGTTGTGGTGAACTAAGATTGCGCCATTGCACTCTAGCCTGAGCAACAAGAGTGAAACTCCGTCTCAAAAAAAGAATAATCCAGCAGGGCGCAGTGGCTCATGCCTGTAATCCCAGCACTTTGGGAGGCCGACGTGGGTGGATCACAAGGTCAGGACTTTGAAATGAGCCTGGCCAACGTGGTAAAACCCTGCCTCTACTAAAAATACAAAAAGTTAGCCGGGGATGGTGGTGTACTCCTATAATCCCAGATACTCTGGATGCTGAGGCAGGATAATGGCTTGAACCCAGGAAGCAGAGGTTGTAGTGAGCAGAGATCATGCCACTGCACTCCAGCCTGGGCAACCGAGCAAGACTGTCAAAAAAATAAAGAAAGAATAATCCTCGGCTGGATGCGGTGGCTTATGCCTGTAATCCTAGCACTTTGGGAGGCTGAGGCAGGAGGATCACTTGAGGTCAGGACTTTGACACCAACCTAGCCAACATGGTGAAACCCCATTAGTAAAAGCAGAAAATTAGCTGGGCATGGTGATACGTGCCTATAGTTCCAACTACTCAGGAGGCTGAGGCACAGACAATCATTTGAACCCGGAAGGTGGAGGTTGTAGTGAGCTGAGATCATGCCACTGCACTCCAGCCCAGGAGACAGCAAAACTGTCTCAAAAACAAAATTAAAAATTTGCTGGACACAATTAACATGGCTGAAGAGAGAAACCCTAGATCAGTCTAACAATTAGCAAAAAAACTAAAAAATTTTTTTTTGGAGATAGAGTCTCACTCTGTTGCCCAGGCTGGAGTGCAGTGGCGCGATCTTAGCTCATGGCAACTTCCACCTCCTGGGTTCAAGTGATTCTCCTGCGTCAAGTAATTGGGACTACAGACACATGCCACCATGCCCAGCTAATTTTTGTATTTTTAGCAGAGATGGAGTTTCACCATGTTGGCCAGGATGGTCTCGATCTCTCGACCTCATGATCCGCCTGCTCTGCCTCCCAAAGTGCTGGGATTACTGGCGTGAGCCACTGTGCCCAGCCAAAACTGAATTTTTTTTCCTTCCAAAAGCTTCTTTTGCTGGAGTACGATTAATACTGAAAACCTACAAACCAAGCTCAGGAGGTGTCAGTCAGCATACCCTCCCAAACCCAAATATGTGAACATGAGGTGAACTGGTGTGTTAAAATTATCCTAGTCACAGTCCCAGTAAATGTGGGTATATGCGTGTGTCCTGTGATGAAACAGCATCTTTTCTAGGGTTGGCTCTTGCCTGTCACCCTTTTCCCTGAGTTGTCAGGACTAAGCTCCAGGTACCTACAACCCTGGATTAACTGGGTAATTATCTCAATTGCTTTTGTTACTGCCTCAAAAGTACATATTATTTCACATTGATTTCAGTGTTTAATATTTTAAGTGTTTTGGTCTTTATTTAGAAGTAAGGTGATGTTTCTATGACTGGAAATATGTGATAGGAACTTAACTGAGGCCCCCTCAAAAGCCAGTTAACCCAGGCCGGGCACAGTTGCTGATGCCTGTAATCTCAGCACTTTGGGAGGCAGAGGCAGGTGGACCGCTTGAGCCCAAGAGTTCAAGATCAGCTTGGGAAATATAGGGAGACCATGTCTACAAAAAAATTAAAACATTAGCTGCGTGTGGTGGAGCATGCCTGTAATCCCAGCTACTTGGGAGGTTGACACAGGATTACTTGAGCCCAGGAGGTCAAGGCTGCAGTGAGCCTTGATGGCGCCATTGTGCTCCAGCCTGAGGGACAGAGCCAGACCCCATCTCTCTAAAAAAAAAACAAACAGCAAGCACAGGATCTAACAAAAACTTCAAAAACACCCAATTTATCAATAAATCCAAGATATTTCTATCTTAATGTGCATTACCGATATAATATCAACTACCTCACATAAAGTGGGAACCATGAACACAAAAGGACAACTACCAGAAAACCAGAAAAATATAACTGAAAACTCGAGCAGGGATGATGGTCTACTTCCTTCTAGAGACTGAGGAGTTTACCGCCTTGATTATTCATCTTATCAGTATTTAAAATTCTACTAACTTTTTTCTTCTTATTAAGCATAGATTTTTTGGTGGCTTCATCCCAATTGCTGACAAACGAGGAAAAGATGGGAAGAGCAGCCGATTTCTCAGTTTTCACAAAGAGGAGTTTCACGCTCTCCCACTTCTGAAACAAAGAAAAGAGTTAAGTCATCTATATATACTTTGTTTATTTTAAACAAACCATCAATTGATGCACCTGCAATACTGTACCTCCGGCAATTTTTCTG